ATATTTGCCATTCAAATACGTCGAAGAGAGGCCAGAAAGTATTTCTTTTAAGGGGGAAAGTTGGCATTTGTCGAGTTATGAAAAATTGGATGCTAAAGTTCCTAAGATCTACAGTACAAATGAACCTTGCATCCGTCATATGACTTTTATTACTGTGTACCATTATTGTTTTTTTTTTAATTTACTGTTGTTAATCTCTTATTGTGCCTAATAAGATCTGCGGAAAGAATAAATCTTCTATCCGTCATATAACTTTTATTATTATTTAATCTATTGTTATAGCTCCATAATTTTAATTATTATTTTAGTTTACTGTAATAATAGTTCCGTTTTATTATTAGTTATTGTTGCTAATCTCTTATCGTACGTAATAAAAACTACGGTAAGAACGAATCTTCTATCCGTCACATAACTTTAATTACAGTCTATTGTTATAATAATTCCATTTTATTATTAGTTATTGTTGCTAATTTCTTATTGTAGGTAATAAAAACTACTAAACTATTTGCTTGTTACATTTTTGCATAATTGGGGAGGTTTTTTTTTAATGGCTACTGTGGACTACCGTTACATCTGCTCCAGTATGAAATTTGAAATTACTACATAGCTTTGTAGTAACTTTAACTTCAGCTTGCCAGGCTTCTTCGTGACCGCGTTAATTCTATCGTTAGCAGTAATAAAACCAAGGACATATTATGGTTCTTCTTCCCTCATTTCACGAATTTTAGACCTGCCAGTCCGACATATTTTTGTATAATGTCCTTTTCTTGAACACGTCCGGCAAAATTTACAGGGAATTTTTAGACGAGCCTACGGGTTCGGATTACCGCTTCATTAAACTCGGCTTTGTGCTACATCCTTCCGGGGGGGGGGGGGGTCAGGTAAATACCGTCGAGCTGGTATCTGCGACACTAGCAGCCTTCCGATAGCAGCAAGCACACAAGTGTACTGACTTGCGACGACCGTGCGCATAACTATTACTTCCTTGCCTGTTGCACGCGTTTCTACAATAAACCTGTTACTATTTATCCACCGTGTTTGTGCATTCCATATTCATATTAGCACGGAATATAAAAGTTAGCTTGTTGTTTGGAAGTTTCATAGGCCCTGCCTATGTCTATATATTTGTCTAGGTTGAGCTTTTTGTCCCTTAAAAACATTTCCCTGGCTATATCATCATAAACCCCTACAGCAATTTGGTTTCGAATTAGCCTGTCTTGCATTTCTTAAAAACTGCAGCCTTTTGCTAACTGCCAGAGCGCAGCGATATATGCCTAGATATTCTCTGAAACTTTTTTGCTTTCGAATATGAAATCTATAAGGTTTGTACGCTTCATGGGTTTTTCCAAGAAAAAATTCTTCGAATTTCGTTATTACTAATTGCAAATTTTCTTTCTCGTCTTCATTATCGAATTTCAGCCCCTCGTAAATATCGTATGCATCTTCTATTATTGACAAAAAGACAGATATTTGGTTTGCATTACCAGGTTCTTTGAGACGACTGGCTTTTGAATAATTTCGAAAATTTCGAATAAACCTTTATTAGTTAGTTGCCAAATTCCCCGATAAAACCATTTTTTGCAGAAGGTTGGACATTTGCTGTAAATTGTCTTTAGTTGCCATGTTCTTGTTCAGATTTTTGTGCAATGGACAAATCGTCAATTGGACTAAACATTTTTTTTTAACAAAGAAAAGAAATTTATTTTTTCATTTTTTTTGTTTGTACTTCTTAAACTGTTTGTAGCTTAAATGCGAAGATTTTTTCTTGAAAAAAAAAACTGAGATAGATACATACATACATGTAAACAGATTGACATATTGATAGATATATAAGAACAAACTGAGATAGATAAATATGAACAAACTGAGATAGAAATAAAAAAACTGAGATAGATAAAAATGGAATGAGATAGATAGAGAGAGAGATATGAACAGACTGATATATATATATATATATATATATATATATATATATATATTTATAGATATATAGATATGAACAAACTGAGATAGAAAGGAAAGAACTGAGATAGATAGAAATGGAAATGAGATAGCTAGATAAAGAGATAGCGAGATAGATATGAACAGACTGATATATATATATATATATATATATATATATATATATATATGTATGAACAAACTGAGATAGATATAAAAGAACTGAGATAGATAGATAGATAGATATGAACAGACTATATATATATATATATATATATATATATATATATATATATATATATATAAATATATATATATATATATATAGATGTAGATATATAGATATGAACAAACTGAGATAGATATAAAAGAACTGAGATTACAGGAGGAGGAAAAAAGAAAAGATTGAGTTTTCACAGTTTTGACGTGCAAATTCGTTAACGCGTAGAATTTAAAATCTCCCCTCCTCATTCAGGGTCCGTTTTTATAAAGAAGGCAGATACCGTTTGTTGACAAGGGAGATAACCTTGCATTACCCCACACCGGTTACTTCACATTGTTTATGATTCGCCGGGATCGAAAACCGGACGGACGGACACACGTACACTGCGCTTTATTCTTATTGATATTGTTATAATTTTTTTCTATTTTATCATCAGCCATTGTTGTTAATCTTTATTGTGCTTAATAAAATCTACGGTAAGAACGAATCTTTTATCCATCATAAAAAGTTTTATTACAATATATTGTTGTAAAAGTTTTATTTTATGAAATTAAAATCTATCATGTGTTAGTATGTAACCACCAGGGAAAATATCACCGGTTTCAAGAATCCGCTTAGACATTAAAACATTTCCAGCGGAAAAGAGCGGGAGGGCTTCTTCTATGTGCTGTGTTCCTTCAAGACATTTGTGATCATGACTCACAACTACTTTCTATTTATTTTGGCTCTTAATAACGTTTGTCCGTTCGCTGGCTCATCAGACCACACTTCTAAGGGTGAAAAAATTATATACATATGGAGGAATCGCAGAGCCGAGTTCGAATTCCAGTCGAATCCATTACATTCACTTACGTGCTAATACCGTTGGGAAAGGTATGAATCCTCTCCCTCCAGCTATGGGTAAAATAGCAGGACAGACTGGGTTCTATAGCCTTGGATGGCAGCTGGTCTAGGAGAAGAACTACTCTGAATTCAAAATCTGCGAAGGGTCGTTTGGGAACTTTGTGGCACTCGATGCACCATGTCTTTGTATTCGTCCCTTCAAAAAGTGTGGATGGTCCTGCACGAGGCCTTCACCACTATAATCAAATCTCATGTGCCGGTGTCGGTTTCCTGAAACTGATCTGTTTGACCCTCATACGTCGAATGTCGACGGAAGAGTCGATTATATATATATATATATATATATATATATATATATATATATATTCAAAGAAAATGAATTTTTTGCATGACCATTTTTTTTTTTTTTTTTTTTTTTTTGCAGGACCTAGGTACCTTTCGGCCAACGCTTCATCAGGGTCTTTCGTTGGCAAATGATCGGGCAACACCTATTAGAAAATGAGTCATGCTCAAAACGTTTCACAATGGACTCGTTTTCAATTATATGCGTAGGCAGGTCCAAATATCATCTGTCTATTTTGGAAGCCATCTGCCTCAAATTATTTAAACCATCGCTTTCTAAACAAAAAGGAGAATTTTTCACGATCCTTCTAAATTTATTTTTTGATATATGAGCAACTTATTTTCCTATCTTACTGCTCAGGTTGGTTCATTATTATTAATTCATTATTTACGCATTTATTTTAATCGTAATTTATTTTTAATTTTACGTATATATATCTTCGTAAAATTTTAGACTTGTTCCAACCATACCATTTTGGCGTTCTTCTCATTTTCATTGTTTGTTTAAAATCATTTGCCAACGAAAGACCCTGATGAAGCGTTGGCCGAAAGGTACCTAGGTCCTGCAAAAAAAAAAAAAAAAAAAAAGAAATGGTCATACAAAAGAAATTCATTTTTTTTAAATCTTTATATTTGTTTTGTGGTATCAAAACATTATTCCAATATATATATATATATATATATATATATATATATATATATATATATATAATTTTTTCACTCTTAGAAGTGTAGTCTGATGAGCCAGGGTCCCTGGGAAATAAATTATGACCAATGGACTCTTAAGGTTGT